TTCTATCATTACCTGATATCATGGGTAAGCCCTTCTATCATTACCTGATATCATGGGTAAGCCCTTCTATCCTTATCACTGATATCAATATTTTTGTTTCTGCTGTTGTTTATGTGATTTTACTGGTGTCTCTGTTATAATGCAACAACATTTCAGTACAGTGACCATCAGTTAGTACCAATGTATTGATGTTATCTCTGTTTTGCTTAGATCGCTTAAAAGAACGTTTACATGATACAGATGAAGGTGTTCGACATGAAGCAGTGAATGCTATCGTTGCAGCAGCTAAAAAAGATGTGACAGCTTGCAGTGATGAAGTTCTACAATTTGTTAAAGAGAGAATGCTTGATAAAAGGGTAAGTAGGTTGTAGTTGGCCATATATTTGGCATTCAAACTTTGTGCAGAAAAAGTAAATTTTTTAAGTCACCCCCTTTAGCCATGAAAATCCAACCCACCAATTCAATTGTACATGTCCCATCTAGATAATATTGTCACTCTTGATCAAATTCAGGATGTTCGAATGGTGAAAATGTATCAAAATCATTTCTGACATTCCCAAACTGAATCTTGCTCGTGCATTGGACATATTTTATTACCTTGCCCGTACCATCAAAGATGGAAGGGAAAAGTATATTAAGGGAAAACTTTTGTCCGGCGTTGTCGTCGTCGTCGTTGTTGTTGTTGTTGTCGTCGTCGTTAATAATTGTTATTGTGTGCATAATAACTTTACTAATTCTATTCCAAACTTTATCAAACTTGGTCACCTTATTCATCAGTATAAAGTCTTCCCTGAGTTTGAACAACAGATGTCCTGTATGAAAATATCATGCAAAAATTGAGAAAATCTGATAAAATATTTTGACTGTTTCTACTTGACTGATCACTGGTGATACACATCAAAGGTCACTGATCTCAGTGGAAATATGCATTGTTGTATGTGTTCAATGAAGCAAATGATTTATCTTGTAATAATATCCTTGGTAATGTATCTCAGAATCCCATACTGGGTTTCAAAACCAACTCATGGAGAGATTGCACAGTCTG